ACTGATAATCACTTTATTTTTAATTCATCTTACTTATTTTTTTTCCTGGTATAGTTTTTAAATATCTTTACAATTGTAATCAATAATCATGCATTTGTAAGGGCATATGACCGTGGTTCAACATTAACTCTATAGAGCATCACAGCTTTTATATAACACAATTTAANACTGATAATCACTTTATTTTTAATTCATCTTACTTATTTTTTTTCCTGGTATAGTTTTTAAATATCTTTACAATTGTAATCAATAATCATGCATTTGTAAGGGCATATGACCGTGGTTCAACATTAACTCTATAGAGCATCACAGCTTTTATATAACACAATTTAAGATAAATATATATATATATATAAATGTATATCACGTAATAAAAATTCGATTCCATGCATTTAGTTATTATATACAAAACAAAATATAATTCGTCAAATTCATTACTTTTACTTACATGCATTCCTAAACGATCTATCTCAGAAAGAACCCAGCCAACAGATCCATCGCCACTGCACACCAATATTCGAAATGGATCAAAATGACGAAATAATCTCAACCTGTTTACAGTGAGATACCAAATTAAGTCCTTTAAAAAATGGAAATGTATACAAATTTTAAGTATAATTACACAAAAAAATCTTACCCTGGTCCTGGTCCTCCTTTTATTAGATCAAATACTTGTGCAGGATTTAATAATTGTTTAAATCTTCTAAGAAATTTAACGCCTTGATTGTCACCAGATTTACTATTTACAAATACTAAAAGTGGGCTGCATCCAGTAGGTCTAATAGCTTCCCAAGCTTCATCGCTACCTATTAAATTATTAATATTTATATATATTTATATCAAACAATTTTAAATACATTGAATTATACATATGCAAATTTAGCGTAGCAAACGAATATATCACAGTTTGATTAATAAATTAAAATACCAAATTAAAACTTATTACAAGAGTATCCATTTTTTTCTAGAAAGTTGGTGATTCTAAATATTTCATTGAATGTCTTCAATGTCCTATTTACATGAAAGTTCTAATCATCTAATTCATCTTATTACCGATATGATTGCATCTAGTTTTTAATGGGGAAATATGAACGCAGAAATGTTACTAAATTTACCTATACTATGCAATGCTGTAGGAGGAACTACGCTCAATTTAGCTGGTCCTAATGGACATTTAACACTTATGGCAGGTCTGCATGCTGTATGTACTGTAGCTCTACACCATAAACATCTCCAATCTTGAAGTCTAAAGAAGTAGCAGAATAATAATCAGTAAAAGTTTTAAGCATTAAGTGAAACACTTTTTATGAGAGAGCTTCATACCTGAGCACGGAGCCACAAGTTTTCTCACATACAGAACATTTTGAGGATACTGGTAAATTGCCTTCCATCCACTGATGTGGCATAGTAATGTTCTGAGCAAGAAAAGAATTTATTTTACTAATTATGATTATTCTTATAAATAAAGAAATTATTGTAATAAATCATATTTATTGACTTCATTTATGTCGTACGGTTCACTATACGTGTACTTTATCAAAAATTGATAAAGAGAGAAACAGGATGTATTACAAAGGAATGAAGTAACTCGAAGTGAAAGAAATAAAGAAAAGATTTAAACAAAATTTGCATTTCTTATGATAAACCTAAGCAATAAATTAAGTAGTTTATCGCATGCGGAGAACTAATTCTTTTAATTATACGTACCCCATCTTGGTCCTCAATAATGTCCTTGCCAATAGATGCCAATGTAGTCCATTTGCAATTATTTATTGCTTTTATACTACATTGTTTATGAACTTTATATTTACATATTTCACAACTTAATCCATGGGAAGTAACACCTGTCATATATATATAAATATATTAACATAGTTACGTGTTCAAAACACTTATTTTAATTCTAGAATCCGACATATGAATTTCTTTCTTAATGTTTATTAAAGATTTGATAAAATATTTGTTAACACAGAATATTATGTTTACAAAAAGAATACACTTTTTACCATTCAGTGGCATATTTACTTTTGTTATGTTGAGGTAATAATAGAAATTTCAATTTCAAATATACATTTTATAGCTTTTAATTATAAATACACCTTTGTTATTGAAATTTTTAAACGCTCTGTTTGTATTACACTTGTTAAATTAGTTAAAAGATTAAAAATAGTAGAATACATTTACATACCATAAAGAGTATCTCTGCAAACATTACAATATGTTGGTCTTGCATGACTTGTTGCGTACCACTGGTGATTACCACTAAGCATTTCTGCGATTCCAGAATCTGCCTGGGCACGATTCTCTGTTACTGTTCTTAGTACGTTCAACCAATCTTCCATTTCTTGTCTACTTTTGCCACAGAGAACCAGTGATCGAAACGGAGTTATCACCTGTTATAAAACATACGCAGTTTACCTAATAATCATTGTTAAGCGTTTAACTTTAATAAAGCTATCTTTTATTACAATGTATAAGCATATCATAACATCTGACGTATGCATGGTATATAATTACAAAAGGTATCAATAGATTATAAGAAATAAAAGGCAAATGCACTGAAAGTAATCAATAAATAATTAAGTGCAATAACAGTCTGGTTTGAAATAGACGCACAAAACTATTTAGACTAGTAGTCAAAAGCGTGTAAGTAAATCGTGAATTATGTTGAATAAAAATTAGATTTTGTGCGATATGTACTAACGTAGATGCAACATATATATTAAAAGTAAACTGTCGTGTAATTCTGAGAAAAATAACCTTTCGTTTACATATTATGTATACGATGCAAAACGAGATATTACCTTGAATCGAGAACGGATTCTCTGTTGCTTTGATGACATTTGAATTGCAATATTAGACGCATTTGAATTCGTGTAATTTATACGTGTCGTGAATAATTAAAAATGTTACATTGGTACAGCGGATATTAACTTTTGTGTACGCGAGGGGTATCATAGTAAAATACACCGAGAATCAGAATAACCAAAGATAGTTATGCGAGCGACGCTCTTTTCTTCTCCTTTAAGCCATTGCTATGTCCTATTTTCCATGGCGCATGTCATGTCACCTCGTTTATAAATAAGTGTCCAAATGAAAACGACATGCATTGTTGTAGGATCGTATTCTGTGCACGGCTGCTTTTGTCAATGTGTTATTATTCTGTCCGCGAAAGCAGTTCGCAAGGAATAATCATGGATACATCGGAAGAAAGAAATATATCCCGCTTCTCGAGGATATCCATTCAAAAGACGATTGAATAGAATCAAAGCGTGTGTATATTTTAGTTTCAGATATTGATTATCAAAGCAATGTAAATATGAAGCAATATGTGTTTATTAATTAGTTAAATGCAACCATAAACAGCGTATGCGATACCGATTTACATAGAAAGAATAATAACGCTGCGATAATTGTTGATTTTTTGTTTTAAAAAATAATATAAAGTACAAGACGATTATTTACGTTATAACGAAGGCATTATAAATTATGATGAAACAAATTACAGTTCCTTTAGGAAAACGTTAAACAAAAGAATTCGAGGCAGCAATTTATGATCTACGAAAATTAAGTGAAAAATAACGTTCTTGCAAGCATCGTTATATATTTTTCTCGTTCTTGTGTACACACTTATTTATGTAATGTGAAGAAAAAGGTTAAATATTATCGATAAAAAAGAAAGAAGTGAGTACGTATAAAACAAATAATGTGTTTGGTTCTGTCCAAAATGTGTAAAGCAATCCCGAAAAGATGATTCGATAACTTGATTATAACTAATGGCCTTTGTCATTCGGTAAATTGAACGATCATTTTCGTGGTAGGTGTAATTAAATTTTCAACCCCTTTTATCCGGCGCGCTCCGTTTAAATGTCAAGCACTCGTGCCGTACGTCACATGCCTACATTTGCATGCACATGTATACATGCACACGGGTATACATACATTAAATAGCTTAATAGATTTCTTACGAATTGCAACATAAATGAAAAACGCGTCTATAGAACATTGTCAAGCGAATATTCTACGTTGGTTTGGTTGTCAAGTAAACGGTGTACATTAAAAATGATTAATAATCGTTATCACGCAAATAAAACATTTTTGTTGCAGGATACTAGAATGTTGTGCAATTATTTTTCACACTCAGAATTTTACTTCATGATTATTATTATGGTATACCTTCGATACTTTAAAATTCAATTGTCATATTAAAATCTTATGAGAAAAATATGTAGTATGATTTATAAATAAGAATTAAAAGAACATCCCTTAGAATGCTCTAAGGAGCATCCTGTACGAAATAGATTGCGCGTCGCGACGACTGGCGTCAACTGAGCGCTCCTATTAACTCTTTCACGTCCCGATAATGGCGCTAGTGTCGCTTCCCTTAAAATCACATTACGGTGGGTTTACATCCGTCGGTGCTGTTCACAGGAAATAAACGGGAGATGTACATGAAAACGTACTCCGTGCTACAATTCTATAGTCCGTGAGTTCTATGACAACATATATGTATGCATTTATGTATGCATGTATGTATGCATATACGGCAGGTTTTTCATGATTTTTCTACCTCCTTCAGCTTTTGCAAGCATCCCCACCATTTTATTACACATCCAATCCGCAGTGAACTGTGTCTTAAGCATTGAATCGTTAGCCAATTAAAGCGAAGCAATTTCTACTTCTATTCTCGCTAACGGAGCGCACTGCGGCTGGAGTCTCGCAAGACCTAAAGTATTACATGCTGTACTGTACGTACAATATTATTGACAATGACAGCATAGAAATCTCACATGATCTCACACGAATTGTACTTAGTGGTTCTACCTACGATTTGTTCTCCATGGAGATGAATTAATTATTGAAACTTGAAAGGCAGGTTTATTTTCATGCTCGAAATTATAAATAAAATCTGAAAATGGATGAAGCAAAATTTTTAAAACGGTAGGTGTTCGATCACGTAATTACGATAATGATCGTCGCATAATTGTCATGATAATAGTTTGACAAAAGATTCGATATTATTTGTGCTACTGTAACAAGTGTATTTTTAATATTTAGAAAAGTGAGGTCCGGATCTTTGGATGTTCATCCTACGGAAAAAGCTTTGGTAGTCAATTATGATGTGGAAGCATTAATCTTGGGTGAATTGGGTGACCCTATGTTGGGTGAACGTAAGGTAATAGTTTATTTCAAATAGTTTATCGTTGACAATTGTTATGCAATACATCGTTGTCACGATTGTTATTTAAAATGGTTTTATAATTGTTCTCATTTACAGGAATGTCAAAAAATAATTCGATTAAAAAGTTTGAATGCAGATACTAATGTATCACTTCTTGCTAAAGAAGTGATAGAAAAATGTTCTTTAATTCACGAATCTAGGTTGAGAGAGGTAGAACAATTGATTTACTATCTCCAGAATCGTAAAACAAATGACATTACTACAAGTTAGTTTATTTATCTATATTAAATATTTTCGAACGTTTTTTGAAATTCTGGTTGTTTCATTAAATATTTGTTGATACAGGTAATGATAATAATTCTCAACTTTCAAGACCATCGTCGTCAAATTCTTTATCTATAGACAATGGAGAAACGGAACGTGCTATCATTAGCAACGTTGATAGTTACATTGAATTATTATATGAGGAGATTCCAGGAAAAATCAAGGGATCGTCACTGATCTTACAATTAGCACGAATACCTGATAATCTGCATGAATTGACAAAAAATGGTATTAAATATTTTTATATTGATCTTTATAGATGTTGGTTACATAATTTATAATTAATGTGTATCTTTCTAGAATCCCTGTTAAGTGCTTTAGCTAGAGTTCTAAGAGAGGATTGGAGACGTAGCATAGAATTGTCTACAAATATTGTCTACATCTTCTTTTGTTTCTCAACATATAGTCAATTTCATAATATTGTGCTTGAATACAGAGTAAGTAAGAATAATTTAAAAACATTAATACACTTAATACATCTAATATAATTGTCTTCAGATTGGATCATTATGTATGGATATAATAGACTTTGAACTACGTCGGTATGATCAATGGAAAGAGGACATGGAGAAACGTAGACGTCATTTCGAAAATACTACCGGTTTAACGTTCTTCTCAAGTGCAAATGATAACTGTGACAAAAAGAATAAAATCATCGATGACATCTGGAGTACCGATGGTCCTCTAGATTATGAAATTAAAAAACGATCTAGCGAAATTTCTGTAACTGAGAATGACATTAAGAAATTAAAAGAGGAACTTGAAAAAAGTCGCAAGAAATTTAAAAGCTTAATAAAAAAGCAGGAGCATCTATTGCGAGGTTGGTAGTGGTCTGTTATTATAATTGAAATGTTTGGAAAATATTACAATATAAGTTGTGTTACAGTGGCCTTTTATTTATTATTAAATATTGCTGAAAATATGGAAGTAGAGAGAAAAATGCGCAAAAAAAACGTAATTGGCATGCTGATCAAGACATTGGACAGGACAAATACGGATTTGGTGATACTAGTTATTGCATTCTTGAAAAAATTATCGATATTTCGAGAAAATAAAGATCTTATGGTATAATTCTATGATAAATAATTTTAATATTATTTAATTACAGTTCATGCATAATCTGCCATTGTTTCAGGCTGAAGGAAATATTATTGAAAAAATACCAAGACTTTTGCAAAATAATAATGCTGATTTGGTATTGAGTACCTTAAAATTATTGTTCAATCTTTCCTTTGACACGAAGCTTAGGGCAAGAATGATAAGAGTTGGCTTGTTACCAAAATTAATTAAACTCCTTGGTCAAAGTGACATTAAAAATAAGACAATAATTTTGGGAACATTATATCATACTAGTATGGATGATAAAGTGAAAGCTATGTTTACAAATACTGAATGCATACAAATGGTGAGCATTATAAAATTTTCGTATACATACATCAATTTCATTTGTATTAAATATAAATGTTTTTAAGATAACAAATATGATTTTGAACTCTGAAGATGATCAACCAAAATTAGAATTAGTTGCTCTTGGTATAAATTTAGCAATCAATAGTAAAAATGCCCAACTTATGGTAGAAAATAATCGTTTGCAAGGACTTATAAAAAAAGCATTCAGAAATCAAGATCCTCTTATAATGAAAATGATACGAAATATCTCTCAACACGAATCAACTAAGGACAGTTTTGTTGTAAGTTAGTTTATTCTATGCAATATATCATTTGTAAGCGTGATTATTTAGAAATAATTTTTCACATAATTAACAACAACAAATATTAGGAATTTGTGGGTGATTTTGCTATGGCCTTGAATCAATCAGACTCTCAAGATTTTGTTTTGGAAGTTATCGGTGTATTAGGTAATTTGGAATTACCTGACTTGGATTATTCACAAATACTCCATCGATGTGATTTGATACCATGGATACGCAATAATCTTGTGCCAGGTATATTTTCCTAAATAGAAATCCTTTTACTTTATTCCTTTTATATTAACATTTCTTTGAATTTCATTTGTGTCATCTTTATGCAGGTAAAGCACCTGACGATTTAGTACTTGAGATTGTTATATTTTTGGGTACAGCAGCTTATGATGAAGACTGTGCACGATTATTATGTAAAGCCGACATACTTTTGTCCCTTATCGAACTTCTTAAAGGTGTGTGTAATATTGAAAACAGGAAGTAAATATTAATTCTTAACAATAATTCATTTTTAACAGCTAAGCAAGAAGATGATGAAATGGTTTTGCAAATAATATATGTTTTTTATCAAATATCTAAACATGATTCGACAAGAGACTATTTAATACGTGAGACTGGTAATGGTAATAATCAAATTCTTTTCTTTCTTATTTTAGTATGCTAAAACGTGAATTGTTATGCGTAAATTATTTGCAGAAGCACCTGGATATTTAATAGATTTGATGCATGATAAAAATCCAGCAATTAGAAAAGTGTGCGACGCATGTCTGGATGTTATTGCTGTAAGTATATTGTATACATTTATAGCCTTTTCACGGAGATAATCAATTTGAACTAATTGTTAAATGTTAGATGTGCGATAAAAATTGGGCAGCACGTATAAAAGTGGAAAAATTCAGATCGCATAATCAGCAATGGTTAGAAATGGTCGAGTCTATAACAAGCGACACTACTAATCATTTACTACCAGAAGAAGACGATAGTCTTTCACCGTTTACGAATGGTGATCTCTTAAACAATACAATGTTATTCCCATCTGGTAAATCATTTTCAATATACATATATTTATTACCCACTTCTATACTGTAATACCACTACAACTAATTAAATCCAAAATAGGTAATATCGCATCATTCAATGCGGATGACAGATTTTCAATTATGAAAAATTCTTCAGAATCATCTGAAAATCAAAGTCGACCAGTCAGCAGGTAAGCTTTTTATATTTCTTTACAAATTTCTTTATTTCCTATGACCTATGAATTCATATTATATGTATATGGTATGACAATTAAAATTTATTATCTTTTTTATATTTCTATATTAGGTACAAAGATTTTGATGAATTGGGCGAACTCATGGCCCGTTCTAAATCCCGCATGTCTGTCGGTTCTGGGATTGAAGACATCTACTATAATTCCAAAGTAAAATTTACTGAATCAGACAGTTCTCATGTGTTAATATGAAAGGTAAACCACATTATAGTGGATTGTCTACTAGTGATAATAAGAACTTCAATTCTCATTTAAAATCATATTATCTTTCCATATAAATGTGCATAATGATGCATGTAATAGTTGCTTCATTTGTCTAAGTATCAATAACAGTTCTATACATATATTTATTCATGCAATACAATATTTTAATATTCATTTTAATTTTTAGTCGATAATACAAATAAAGGTAGTAGCAATATTTATCTAAATCATTTTATATTTAATGATTTATGAGAAATCTTGAGAAGTCTTAAAAAATATAAGTAATGAACTATTTTCATCTCGCAAGCAGTATGAAGTTGGCAAACTAGGCATATGCAGCAACCTTTATATGGATCACTTCGTATTTATTTATTTGCAAAGGCATTTTGGAAAGCTTTTACAACTATATACGTGATATGTTACTT